TGCCCTTCCCCCCTCAATCACTACTTAAGAAGATGCTCTACAAGCCTGCCTCTACACCTGTCTTATAGAGGTGTTTTCTCAATTGTGGCTTTCTCTTCTCAGGTGATTTCAGCTTATGTCAAGTTGGCATAAACTTATCCAGCACACATATTAAGTAAAATGTTAGCTACAGGGTTTCATAAATGCCTTTTGTCAGGTTAAAGATGTTCCCTTTTCATTCTTAGAGTCTCAACGAGTATTGGGTTTTCTCAAATGCTTTTTCAAATGAGATAACATATCTTTTTTCTTCATTTAGTTAATATCCACATATTATCATGTTAATATCAATTGGTTTCCATGTTTAACTACTCTGACATTTTGAGATAAGTTTCATTTAATCATGATGAATAACCTCATGGTATATTGTTTGGTTCCATTTGTTGGTGTTTTGTTGGGGATTTTTCCACATTCAGTCTAACAGACGTTCTGAACCTGTGGGTCATAACTATTGAAAACTACATATCTGATGCTCTTAGGAACCTGCAACCATAAATCTGTATTCATTGCTATTTCCTAACTAATTTTGCTACTGAGCAGTGACTCAGTTCCTAAGACCTTCAGAAATACGTGTTTTTTTGATAGTTGTGAGAATGACCCAAGAATATCTTCCTTCAGGACCTGTCAGATCAATTAATCTTGTAACTTTGAGATCAAGCTGTCTAGATCCCCCCCCCTTCACCTATAACTCTCTAGCAGAAAAGATCCGCCTCCATTCAAAACTGACACCCCACTCGTGCTCCTAAGCCCTACTCTGGCTTCCTCCTCAGAAACAGCTCTATGTTTGAAACATTCCTTTCCCGCCATATCTTTAAAGCCCTTCTCCATGCACTGTTTCCCTTTTCTGTAAATTTACTAAGGCCCCTTACCATCCTAATGACCACCCCTCCTCCGTCCTACCTCCCCATAAAAGATCTTCCCTAGGTTTCTCTTCCTTTCTCTGTCAAATCACCTGATAAATCAGCCTCCACTTTCCTTCTGAACTAATTGTCTGGGAAGTAAAACAGCCTACTGGGTCCCCTTTGGCTATGAACATACACAAGCCATCCCTCTAAGTTAGATGGTTTCAATTTCTTCTGACTTTTCACTCTTTCTCAGAGCCATCTTATACTTACCTGTGCCTTATCCTTCCTAGAACACTGTCTCCACAAACTTCTCTACTTACCACTTACCCATACCTTACAAAGTCAATCCTCACCGCTCAAGTGACCCTTTAAGGCTTTCTACATTCTGATCTCAGTCTGCATAGCTTTCACTGAGTACCCTGAAGCAGCTCCTACAGAAATAAAAAGCTGAACCAGACATTCATGTTCTCAGAAACATGCCATCCATTGGATGGAACATAAAAAGTATAAGTACAATGTTCCCTGATTTGATATCACCAGAGAATATCAGCACTTTCTCCACAGTCCAAATGGTCCATAGAGTCCCAAAGGAATGCTTTCTACATATCCCCTCCCAACACCAAGTAGCCTGCCACAGCCACAGCCACCATAAAGCATCTTTCCAACTCCTACTCTTCTATGCTGGCTCGACTCTTCCACATTTACTGCCAGCAGTGCAATTGGTGCCCCAGAACATCAGTATCCAAGCTAAAGGTGTTGGCCCAGGGTAATAAAAAGCATCAGTGCCCAATCCAGGAAAAAGAAATTTGTGTTTCCTCTGGGTCAAGCCATGATGCCTGGTAGTCTTTTGAGCATGTGCGGTAACTTCTGATCTTCATGCACCATAACATGTTGGTTCAAATCTGGTTTTGTTATTATTTTGTTTTAGACCTGCAGGGAACTGCTGCTCCCTTATGTTTTTTATGTCTGTGTACTTCTCTGTCCTTAACACAGCTCCCTTCTCCTTCCCCTGCACCAGTGAAAATGTCCACAAATATAAGCAGAGGCAAACTGGCATTTCAGCATTCCTTCAAAGATAAGTAACAGCTTACCATGTGAAAATGAAGGGGAGGAACTTTTCAGACAGAAGTGACAGCAATGCAAAGAAAGCAGAGTCACTGAGGAAATTTACAAATCACTGAACAATGGGAAAGTCCCTGTTGCTATTCAAAATCTTCCTATAACATCCTCAGCTTGCTCATGGACATCATTCACTGGCACATCATTCACTGTAGATGCCTCCGTGGAGTGCGTACATACCTCCATCAGCTCATTATTTATTGACTTAAAACTGTGCTGAGAAATAAGAATACATGGGAAACAAGCTTTCTGCCTGCTCTCATTTAGCAAGAAAAGGAGGAGGTAATGTCATGATTATAATAAAGGAGAAGAGTGCACAACATCGACGCACAGTAGCAGTACTAGGAAAATGCGGAGGCCGACCTAATCCCAAGCCAGTGCCCTACCCGCCACACCATAGCTACTCATTCACCTGTCAGGCTTCTCCATCGAATAGTAGGCCAGCAAATCAGAACTATCTTGTTCATACATACAACATATGTATTTCCCAGATCCAAACCAGAAACAGGCATATGAAGGAGGATCAAGAATATGGCCTGGGTGCCATGATTTCTAAATCTTTACCCATTCAATTAGCACAGAACTAAGTAAATAGTAGGATACATTTAAGCTTTTTGAATAAACTAATAATCCAAGCCTAGTAATACATGCCCATAATTCTAGTTCTCAGGAGTCTAAGGCAGAAGATTGCTAGTTTGAGGCTAGCCTGGGCTACATATAAGACCTTGTCTCAAAACCACAAACACATGTGCACACACACACACACACTCACTCACACACCCATACACACTAATAATTTTGATCTATAAAATTAAGAGAACTGAAAGGAATATGCTAGTCAGTGTGGCAAGCGTTCCTGGTGAGTCCTGTGGCCACTGAGACAATAAGCCCAGTGTCTCATCTGAGGCTCACTTGATGCCAGGCACTGTTTAAGGGTCTTCACAGCATTGATCAAAGAGATAAACGTCCTTTTCTGTGTGATGCTTACACTTCTAGTAAAGAGGACAAAACAAAACCAGAACAAAACAACGACAAACGTTCCTCACAAATTTATAAAGTATGGTGATTGCCATAGATAAAAATAAATCCAACAGAGAGTGTGTCACAGGAATGGGTAGGGGGGTTGGTAGTGAGGAAAGAGTGGTCTCAGAAGACATTGCCAAAAGAAACATTTGCATTGAAGGCATTATGCAGGCAAAGGAGTTGGCCACATGTTTGCCAGGAAGACGTACATTCCAGGGATATACAAGTGCAGAGACACCTCAAGGAATGCCCGAGCTAGAGCAAATTGAATAGGAAGGTAGTCATAGGGATTGTACTGGAAGAGGAAAACAAACCAAATCATCTTTGTCCTTTATAGGTCAATATAATGATTTTTAGGTTTGATTTTGCTGTTATTGCTATGATTATTTTTATTAAATACAAAGAGAAACTACAAATTCTGAGTTATTAGCTCAATGAATTGAGCTAACACCTGTGTATACACACAGAATGATGAAGACAAAGAACACTGTTATCAATACCCTAAATTCCCCTTTGGGTGCCTCTTCCTGACTGCCCCTCCTTCCTTCCCAAAGGTAACCATCCTCCTGATTTCTGACAGTACAGATTTGTCTTGCTTGATTTTAATTTTAAATAAATGGAATACTACTTGGGGGCACCTTTTGCACTCAAGATTTTGCTTGTTATTTTTTACTCACATGACTCTGAGAGGAAAGAGAGGTCAAAATGACAAATAGCCATGTGTCAAAAGACTGGTGGGAAGAGGGGATGTTTGATGGCAATGCTGATGTGCCTGGTAACCATATAGCAATTCAGGAAAGAGAGCAGAAGTGCAGGCTCACGGAAGAGCTGAGTAAGTGTCAGGAAGTCTGAGACACCAGCTCTGGGCCACCCCATAACCACACACTCAACTGAAACTCTTCCTTGGAAAATAAGAGACCCCAAGAAAGTTGAAGTCACAATCATGGTGATTTGTTGACTAATAGTCCAACATCTCCACAGACCATACCATTTGTCAGACACAGCAGAGTACTAAGTGGTAAGTACTGGCGATACAAGAATAACCATAACATGGTCGGTTTAAACAAGTAAACAGAACCCTAGAAAGCAGAGTAATGTGTGCTAAGAGCTTGGGCACTTAAGGGAACATCCTCTTTAAGACTTGTAACAATGGGGCTGGAGAGATAGCTCAACAGCTAAGAGGATGGGCTGCTCTCTCACAGGACTTAGGTTTGATTCTAGCACCAACACAGCAACTCACATCTGTCTTACTGTAACTCCAGTTCCAGGGAATCCAACTCCCTTTTCTGACCTATGTAGACACCAAGCATGGGATACAGAGACATACATGCAAGCAAAACACCTATACACTTTTTTTATAGCTTGAGTTTGAATCCTGGCTCTGCTAGTTTTAAGCTGTACAACCAAGGAAAGTTGGTTAACCTCTCTATAGTTTGATCTCTTTATCCATAAACAGATACTGTTTTTTATCTATCTCACAGATGGTTATAACCCTCAAATGAAATAATGCATGTAAAGAACTGTATAAGCAGTAAATCCTTGTTACTGGCTCTCCACATTGCACAAGCATGGTACATAGACAGATACTAAGTACACTGTAAATGACTGGCTGTGACAGTACTACCGTCAGCAAAGCCTTGCAATTGTTGAAGTTTGTGCCAGGGGTTCAATATAGTTTCATTATCCTTCACAGATTGTTGTCAAAAGATTTCAAGGGCAGAAGACCATGAGTTAGGATCATCTAACTGAATCAATTGCATTAGCAAAGTCTACCAGATACTTTACTTGAGGTAGAGCCACTGGGAGTGTAATTGTCCACTGCAACATTTCTGAACCCTTCTCCCTGCTCTTTCTTCATCACATCTCTGGCCTTCTTCCAAAGAGCTTAAACAGACTGGCAGAATTAAGAGAAAGGATCTAGGAATAGAAGGGGATTGTCCAAGACAGCTCTTTAGCCCTCTCCTTCTGTGTTTACAGGGAGTGAAGTCTCACAAGGCAGCTCAGACCCCCAGCTAATAAATGGCATTCTTGGGGAGTCTGTAGTTCTTCCTCTTGAGCTTCCTGCAGGAAAGACAGCCAGTGTCATCGTCTGGAGTTATGAAAGAGAAGCATCACATGTCACTACAATCCTCATCATCCACCTAAATGAGCCTGAAAGACCACTGATCATTAACAGTGATCGAAAGAAGGAGAGGAGACTGAGCATCACCCAGTCCTATTCCCTGCAACTCAACAACCTCACACTGGCAGACACGGGATCATACACTGCGCAAGTAACCACAGAGGACACTGAGCCGACCATCTTCAGATATACTCTGAAGGTTTTTGGTGAGTCCAAATGAAGCATTTAATCATGCACACACTTTTTTTAAAAATCCAAATTCCAATTGTGTGTGACTACAAGAGTGTACTGTAGCCTAGTGATAAAGATGATGGCATTTGGTGTCATTATGAAGTCCAGAAGTAAAGCGTTTCAATAACATTGCACAGCTAAATAGCAACAGAGCCGAGTTAGAAACTGTGTCTTGTGGCTCCCTACCCCAGTCACTTCACCTTCCCTACCCCAGTCACCTCACCTTCCCTACCCCAGTCACCTCACCTTCCCTACCCCAGTCACCTCACTTTCCCTCCCAACCAGAAATGTACAGTTAGTGGAAGCAAAATGCTTAATGACACTATTAACATGCACAGTTAGGTATCTGTCACACACTCCTTACAAAAGCTCTCGGAGATGAGTGTGCACAATCCTATCCACAGAGCATAGCTTTAGTCATGGTCTCAGAGATAATAGCAGTGGCACTTCCTACGTAACTGACCTATCTCACTTTACACGGAGACTCAGCTGACTTATCGGAGGTGCCGCCTCCGATAAGAAAGTGCTCTGCACAGGTGAGCTAATTAACATAAAAACTAATAGAAAGCTTAATTGAAAACGTCTTCTATCAAGGGTACCTCTAACAGTATTGTCTCCAGATGTCTTATGTTGATCATTAATCAAAAAACTGTTTTCTAACTGGAGAGATGATACACATCTGTAATAAACCCAATATGCGGGAAGTTGAGGCAGGAGGATCAAGAATTTGAGGCCAGCCTTGGCTACATTGACAGACTGTCTCAAATTAATAGGTCTACCTCCCTAATATTAAAGAAAATTATAGGAAAAAAATGAGATACTGTATTAATCTAAACCATGAAAACTCTAGCTACTAGAGATGTTCAGCAATTCCATGGAATATTTTACAGGAGACCCAAGCATCAAATTGGCTACCCAAGGGCAGTGAGATGGCCCAGTAGGTAAAGATGCTTGGTACCAAGCCTGATGAGCTGAATTTGATTTCCAGGGCCCAGGTGGAAGGAGAGAACTGACTCCCACAAGTTGTCCCCTGACCTCCATATGCATACTATGACATTCATGCACATAGACACACACACACACACACACACACACACACACACACACACACACACACTATATCTGGTATGGTGATACCAGAAAGAGAGAGAGAAATAAATAGTTAAATGACTAAATGTTGCTGGTCATGATGGTGCACACCTTTAATCCCAGCACTCTGGAAGCAGAGGCAGGTGGATTTCTGTGAGTTCAAGACAAGATTAATCTACATAGTGACTCCCAGGGGAGCTGGGGTTTTGCATAGAGGCCCAGTCTCAAAAATAAATAAATAAATAAATAAACAAATAAATAAATACATTTACAGTATGCTGTGGGTACTAAGGAAAAGGCATGGAGCATCAGGGTGTCAAGGGACAGGGCAAGAGACGTGGTGCTACAGACAAAAACTAGGCCTTTGAGCGAGCCGCACAAGTATTCTATCACCGAATGTGTACCAGGCCCAAGGAATCCTTTTAGAGGAAGTGATCATAGAGGCCTCTATTGAAAACATAACATTTGAGGCAAGCTCTATTGGTATTAAGAGAATAAACCATGCAGATACCTGGAGGAAGAGCCATTCAGAACAGGAAACAAAGCTCTTCTGCACTCAAAGAGCATCCCTGGAGAAGGCTGAACATCAGTTCTCAAAATCCATATAAAAATCTGGAAATGGTGACAAGCATCTGTGATCCCAGCAAGTAGGGAAGAAGAGACAGAAAAACCCCTGGAGTTTGTTGACCAGCTACTTTTAACCAACGGTAAGTTCAGTGAGAGATCCTGTCCCAAAGAATAAGGTAAGGAGTAATAGAGGAAGACACCTAGCACCAACCTCTGACCTCCACATACATGTGAGCATGTACCCATACCCTCATGCATGCATACTACCATATACACACATAAGCCTATCAAACAAAAAGACAGGAAGGTTAGAGATGTTTTTCACAGGCTGACCAGCAAAGTCATGTGCCCTTAACTAAGGTCTTTTCTCTTTATGTAGAACGACTGAGTAACCTAGAAATTGCCAACCATACTCTCCTGCTAGAGAATGGGACCTGCCAGATACACCTGGTCTGCATTGTGAAGAATCCAAATCAGACTGTCTCAATTGACTGGCAAGCGACAGGAAACATCTTTTTAGGGGAACCAAATGTTACCATCTCTTGGGACCCGAGGAATTCCGGTGACCAGACTTACATCTGTAGAGCCGAGAATGCTGTCAGCAATTTGTCAGTCTCTGTCTCTACCCAGAGTCTCTGTGAAGGTAACATCTGCCTTGGGTCTTCCTGGGAGCCTCAGGCAGCTGGGTAGTGTCGTAGTGTGGATTCACAGCCTACATGACCGCCTGGACAGTGGCAGCTGAGCAGCCATATGCTGTGGAGAGGAACGGGCAGGCTCAAAAACTCCCTGCCTCTGTTAATCTTCTTCTTTCCCTCCCCAAGTCCCCAAGTCCTCTTGCAAGACCAAGACCTCAGGAGTCAGGATGGCTTTCTCCCACCTCAGCCAGGCCCTACCTGTCCTGGCTCTTAGAAAGTCTGACAAACCTCCAGACTAGGAGTAGAAATGGCCATACCCAGCCTTTATAGACAGCCCAGAAGAGACTGACGAGATACTCTGAAACAAACTCAAAAGAGCCCTCATTTTATACACCCTAAGAAGTTCCACTTCTTTTTTTTTAATTCTTCTTTTCAGATGTTTTAACTAATCCACACTGGAATACAGTATGGTTTAAAATTATAATTTCAATTATCATTGCTATAATTGTACTCATCTTTGTGTGCGTGGGCATATGCGTTTGGAAGAGAAGAAGAGGTAAGTTTTCCTTCTGCTTTCTTCTATCATCTGTTAGACTGCAGTTATTTAAGTCTGGGTTGCCAGGGGTCAAGGGAGGATGGACACAACCTCTGGCTAAATTAGTTCGTTGGGATGAACCCTGGTGTGTGGTCAAGCATCTGTTAATATTTCAAGGGAGGTGTCCTACTGAGAAAAGCAGGACCCAGCCTCAAAATCCACTTGCTCACCTTCCCTTCATTTGGGACCTGTTGCCTGCATCTTTGGAAAGACGCCTGGTAGAGAGGGATGGAGGAAATATTCTCTCACTGAACTCATGTGTTCCACCTTCCTGCTTTCATTTCCCAGGTTCTCTTCCTTTGACTAGCCAGCATCCAGGTGAGCATGCAGCCTCTTAACTATAAAACATAAAGCAGACAGGAAGAGGTAAATGAAAGAGAAGAGGGGCTGTCCAGAGAGATAAGCAGTGAACATCACTCTTCAGCTGGACTCTGTGGTATCAGAAAGGCTGGCATGTAACCACAGACCTATAGCATTCCTCCCAAGCACATGAGGGGCGTCACAAGATAGCTAACTTCCTTTCTGAGAGAGAACACAAGTCCTGGAGAAAAGGGTCCATGGACCATACATGAACTGTCACTTTGAGCATGAAACACTCAAAACTAGGCTCTGTGACTATACTGAGACTCAGCCAAGGTAGAAACAGTGGATAGACACTGTGAGAAGAGATATGGATGCAGGCTCAGTTTCTGAATCTCGTCCCATGGGTGATAGTTTCAAGGTATCATTGTTGAAGAGAGGGCATGAGGTCAGAGGTCTGAAGACTTGCATTCCAGCTCCTTTCCCTCTGCTTCCTAAGAAACTCTGTACAAGTCCACTAAGCACCCTTGAGCCCAAAAATCCTCATCTCTAAAATTATCAAAACTGTCAGACAGAGCTGTGCAAACTGTCTCCAGAGATCTCACAGACTGTGGCGTTTAGTCCTTCAAGTGTGTTGACATGAGAGAGTCACTGAGACTCTGAATCATAAGAATACCACCCACACCCTCACCCAAGAAATGAGGTTAGAAATAGACTGTATGATAGTTCTTATTAAGATTGGAAGGTGGAAAAAAGAGTCCTTAAGGGGGGGGTCAATCTTGAAACAACTGCATTGGGAGAGGGGGGTGCTCTAGAGACCAGAAAGACCCAAGGTCTTGTGCAGAGTTGCCCAGTCCTTCCACTGACAGCTGTACCTCTTCTGTGTGTGTGTGTGTTAACCATAGATTCCTCCCAGAACACAGATACTCCGGGCTCTCCAGGGAACACCGTGTACGCACAAGTCACTCGTCCAATGCAGGTAAGTCCTCTCAGCTCTGTTCTCCTTTGTTGTTTTTGTTTTTATGATTCCTCCCAAGCATGTCACCATAATCATCAACATTCGCTATTGGAGAATGCAGCCACAGAGCTGTCTACCCAGTCTCTGCCCCCATCGCCTCTAAGATAATGCTTACCCTCATTCGCGTCCCAGTGTTCTCTGTCTGCTTAATGCATCAGCAGGTCTTTGTGCTTCAGGGTAGCCTTAACATGCTTGAAAATACAAATTAGAGCCTCTCCTTTTCCCTTGCCACACTTGACTAGATCAGAGGAGATTATAAACTAGAAGGAAGTATCATCCAGGAAGTGGGGTTCTATGAGAGCCTAGAGTAGTGTCTCAAAAGAGAAGGCTCAAGTATCACAACCCCTCCACAATAAAGGGGATGAACTACAGAAGAGAACTCCCACATAGTAGGATGGCCTTGGTCAAGCACCAGGGTCCTCACTACCCATGAATGAGACAGTTGTGGAGGCACTTTTCTAAATAATTAGATAGACTGGGGAGCCAATTCTCAAGTCTTCTGATAAAAATAAGCTAAAAGAACTTGGCATTCTCGAAATAATGGAAGCGAAGCAACGGCCCACCTAGAAGTCTTGGATTCCCCAAGCAAACATCTCTGGCCCAGCTGTCACAGGCTTTGAGGAGCAGGCTCCTAAAGGAGAGGACAATGAGGGGTATTCACACTTTTTGCTCATTGACCTTTCCCAGCCTCTGCTGGGAGCACGGTCACCAACAACCCAAAACAGGGATCACCAGCCCATATCAGCCTATGGAGTCTAAGTTATTCTCTAAATAGTCCTTCATTCATTTTAAGTATCAAAATGTATGTACAGATTCATCGAGGACCTGGGGATTTCTGTTGTTACTACTACTTTGGGTATCCAGAGAGCCATTCATTTTGTTTTGTTTTTCTTTCCTTTTGTTCATTAATTTATTTATTTCATTAATTTATTTATTTTACATCCTAATCATAGCTTCCCCTCCCTCCTCTCCTCCCAGTCCCACCCTCTCACTTTAACCCCCCAACCCCCCTCCCTTTCTATCAGAGAAGGAGAGGCCTCCTATGGATATCAACGCCCCTTAGAATATCAAGTTGCAGTAGGACTAGGCAACAGCTTCTCCTATTGTGGCTAGACACAGCAGCCCAGTCAGGGGAAAGAGATACAAAGAGCGATAAAGTCAGAGACTGCCTCTGTGCCTGCTGTTAGGGGTCTCACATGAAGACCAAGCTGCACATCTGTTACATATGTCTATGGGGCCCAGATCCTAGATGCATGCTATCTGGTTGGTGGTTCAGGAGAAAGCCATTCTTAAAACTGGGAGATCCTATATACTTCTGGTTCCCCACTACAACATGGTGACTAGGCCATTAGAATAACAGGGATAAATGGAGCAGGCAAGGTAGGTGGCTCAGTTACAGCTAGTAAAGACTAATACACAAGACAAGAATGCTTTCAATCCCTCCACACAGCTCTGCCTTTCTGATGTTCTCTGGCTGGAACCTTTCTTTGCATTGCTGGGATGTTGATATTCTATTTAGGTTGCTTTTCTGTTTCTTGGAGAATGTTGCTAAAAACATCACAGGTTTAAACTGGTAGAAATTGGTCTCCAGCTCCTCTTGGCATGGCTCTTTCTTTCCTTCTTTCTTTCTTCCCTTCTCTCTTTCTTTTTCTTTTCTTCTTCTTCTTTTTTTTGTCACACTGCCTTTCCCCAAGTATTTGCATGCACAGACCTCTTTGTCTCTGTGTGAACCAAATGCATATGACTTGTTTGTTTGTTTGTTTGTTTGTTTACAGGAACTGAAAATCCCAAAACCTATAAAAAATGACTCCATGACAATTTACTCCATAGTTAATCACTCCAGAGAGGTAAATCCACAACTGCTTTATCGTCTTTTATTTTGCATATATGTGTGTAATGTATGTGTGTGGTTTGTGCTTATGTGTGTGTGGATGGGAATAATCCCATCCAGTGCCCTGCTCTACCATTCTCCGTCTTACTCCCACAAAACAGTGCCTCTCTCTGAAACTAAAGCTAAGCTTATGGCCAGAAAGCCCAAAAATTCCTCCTGCTTTGGGCACCGGGAGTGCTGACATTACAAGCACATACAAGCTTTTTACATGGAGACTGGGGATTTGAACTCAAATTGTCATGCTTGCTCAGTAGGCACTTTTATCCACTGAGTCATCTTGCTAGCCACTATGTTCTTGTAGTTTTATTCCTCTCCCAAACCCTCTTATCTTGCTAATAAAATAAAAGGTCCATTTTACAGATATCTAAATACCACTAGAAAAAAAGAAAGTCTTAGAACATTACCAAAATATAAAAAGTTATCTTGGGGCTGGTGAGATGACTCAGTGGGTAACAGGCAGTTTTCAACAAGCCTGATGACCTGAGTTCAATCCCCAGGTCCCACAGGATAGGAGAGAACCAGCTCCCATAAGTTGTTCCCTGTGGCAGAAGCAAGCAAACATACACACACACACACATACACACACACACACACACACAGACATAGATACATAAATAAATAGAGAACATTTTAACTTATCTTGTATCGGGACCACCTATTATAATTAACCTACTTATTTTTTAATGTAACCCTGCCTCATGCCATCAATAGCCCTACCATCTACATCAGGGCTCTCACGTCCTCTCTGCAGCCATAGAGGGAAGGGTATGGCTCTGATCTCTATTAATCTACTTCATTTCTCTCCTCATAAAATAAGCCCGTTTCTCCTAGGCTGAATACTCTTAAGGACGTCAAGTTGTTGAAAGACTTTAAAGAAATCCAAGTGGAACACATCTACTGATCCCTTGGAAGAGAACAGAAAAGAAGCCTGATTTTCAACTGGCAATGGAATCTGGATATCTAGGGTTATCACTTCAGAATTGATCCTTCATACAAACGTCAGATGCTTCAGGAGTAGCAAGATCTGTAGTACATAACCCCAAAACTACTTTTCAATCAAATCTAGGACAAATCCTGCTCTGGATAATACACCAACATGCTGCTTTCTCTCTGATAACAGAGTTTTGACAGACAGATTATGAGTCAACAAGTAATCATTTCTCCTTCTAGAAGGCAGCAGGGTGTGATTGGCTGTAGAGAGAGCATGGTGTTTGGTTAAATCTAGCATTGAATATACCCACACTCATGCCCTGACAAATCATTTACTTAGACAGGCCTCCTGGGATGTTTCCTATGTTCTTGGACCTTTAACCTCATAGCCAAAAATAAGAGGAGGATAGCAATACATTGGTTCCATTGCTCATGACAGGAATCTGAGCGATCTGTGAATATAGTTTATTACCAAGCACTTCAGACTCTACCTCCAAGATATATTAAACAGACCTCCGTCTTTTCAACTTGTAGATCATTATCATACCTCCATTCCTCCCGTCTGGAATCTGGGGTACTCCAATCACCTCTAAACATCTCTTCTGATTTTGCTCTTGTCTCCCCATAAACCATGGTCTAAAAGACAACCAGCACAATGTCTTTAGTATTGACCTGCTCTTTCTAGTGACTGCCCGAACCCTTGCAGACTCCTCATTACACCCAGTGTTAAAGCCAGAGTCCATGGCCCTGGATGGTCTAGCACATCCCCAGACTCCGATAACTTCACTTTCCCCATTCTCTGTTTGACCTCTGTGACCTTTTAGCTCTTCCGTCAGAGAAGAAATTCTCCATATTACAGTGACTTACACCTCCCCCAAGGCCCTTCTTCTGCTTGTTGTGTACCTCCTGTTCTTTAGGCCAACTTAAATACATCAGCTTCTATAAAATACCTTTCCAGTGCACTCTATCTAAAGTAGAGTCTCTTAAATTTCCATGTTGTCTATCACATGTCATTGAATATTTATTTTTAATATCTGTTTCCATGGGATCAGAGACAATAATTATTTTTTATTGCTGTAATCATTAATATGTAGAACATTGTAAGTGTTCAAATAATACCTTTAATAAATAAATGTATACATAATGAATTGGTGTGGGAATTAAATGCAACTGTGGGTCTACTTTTGTGTATTCTATCATCTGCAAACTAAAATATTTGAGAAAGAATTGTATCTATACTAAGTATACACATACTTTTTTTTTCTTATTATTCCCTTGAGGTAGACATAGGTTCTATACTCCCTCCCCCCATTTTATATGAGGAATTGGCATCTAGGGGATAGCCTAGAACCATCTTCCAGGAACACCAAGGGATGACTATAAACCTGAACCCCTTAGCCTAGTGCCTAACACATTAAGAAAGCTCAAGAAATGCATGTATAACTACTAGTTTTGCCTGGCACCATGTGGCAAGGCACTCCTAGAATTCTAATGCTTGGGAGATGGAGTCAGGAAGAGTCAATATTTTCCTCAGTTATACAAAAAGTTCAAGGCCAACCTAGGCTACAGAAAACCTTGCCTCAAAAAAAATTGATCTTATTGCTGATGTTATTATCATTATTAAAATGTATTCTCCTGAATCACAGAATCTTCATAGATGCCTTCACCACCTAAAAGGCCTAAGTTTAAGGCTCACCTGGGCTACATAGGAAGTTCTATGACAGTCTAAGCTATACAAGAAGACTGTCACAAAAAGTAAGATAAAATAAATGAGAAAAGAAAAAAATTAGGAGCATCTCCACAATTATAAGACGGCAAGGAAACTGTAAGAAAATCTGAACTTTATGTCTTCCAGTTGTTCATAGAATAAAAGAAGATTTTCTGATTCCAGCATGTCTTTCCTTCTTACAAGCCTTTGTCCACTTATCCATGCCTCTCCCATTAGACTCCATGGTGCTGCACTTTCCTGGTGTTCCTCCTTCCTTTCCAACTGTTTCTCAGTCTCCTCACTGAGATGCCTCTTCTGCCTCTTCAAGTTGCAGGACTCACAAAGGTAGTTCAGACTGGGTCTCAGACTCAAGAGGTTCCCTTCACCTCCATATTCCTGTCCTTTTCTAATGTGGCCATTTCCATCATCTTAACTCCACCTTATATGCTAATGGGCCACAACCTAATGTCCTCATCTCTGGCTTCCCAGCTTATATCAACTGTCTTCTTGACATCTCCGCTTACAGATCTGGGCATCAAAATATTTCTTAAATAAAACTCTTGATGTTTTTTCTCCATCTCTCTTTTTTTTCTGTTCATCTTCAGATGAATCAGTGATACTTGATTAGGTCTCCTTTCTAGGGCTGAAGATCACCCAGAAATTGGAATGGAATTTATCATTTTCTATTCTTGTAGGAAACAGTGACTTTAACCAACTGTAACTAACCCATTGTCCTGAAGGTAAACGCTTTAAGACTCAGGTGCTGTACTTTCAAAACACAAAGCATGCCTATTGTAAACAGGAAAGAAAATTTTGTTGGTCACAAAGATCCTATGAAAAATAATATTTTTAGCCCTTCTTGAACAGCTATTGGCAGTTAAGGTCACAGGGAGGAGGGGAGGCCTACTGCTCAGTGGTATAGCCATGGGTACATTCACAGATAACCTCTGCTCTTGCAGATAATCTTAATTAAATACAGTGAATCACATACACACATACAAACATGCACGCACACATGCGCTTTTACACATGTGCACACGCGCGCGCGCACACACACACACACACACACACTTAGCTATGTCCCATATACATAACTTGCCACCTCCTGTCCCCACAATAGTCACATCCTGCTCCCTCTCCTTTCCTCATTTGTTTCTCTACTTTCCTTGTCCCCTGGCTCTGAGAGGAGTAGGCAGATGGTATACAACTGTTAGTGAGGAAGATGGTGACTGTGTACACTGTAGCTCAGGTTCCCAAACCCACAAATACACCATCCATCTTCTTTTAAGGCAGTGAAGGACAAACGCCACCTTAGTGAGAAGATGAATTTACTCTTAAATTACCCTTATCTACTCTGTATGCAAAAGTGAACACTCTTTTTCTTCCCAATAGGAAGAGCACTGTAGTGAGTTGAGGAAACGAAAAATGCTGTCACCCCAGCTCTGGCTTAGATTAATGAAATCAGTGTCTCTGGAGATTGAACACTGCCATTTGCATTTTCAAATGCTTTCTAGGTGTTGTGGTGAGATGCCCTCCAGAGGGCTAAGAGCTATTATGCGGGGGCGGGGCCGGGCGGGGAGTTGACTAGGAATAGTAAGGTAGAAAGTCTGGAATCATCAAAGTATCTTTGAAAGGGACAATGGGGCTGGGCAGTGGTGGAGCACCCCTTTAATCCCAGCACTTGGGAGGCAAAGGCAGGTGGATTTCTGAGTTCGAGGCCAGCCTGGTCTACAGAGTGAGTTCCAGGACAGCCAGGGCTACACAGAGAAACCCTGTCTCGAAAAAAAAAAACAAAACAAAAAGAAAGAAAAGAAAGAAAGAAAGGGACAATGGACCAGAGAGAAGTGGAATAAAACTGTGTCACACTGTGTAGTTCTGTGATTTCTTTAGCATGGCGTTGGAAGGGGCCTCCAAGTTGACTCAGATATACCCAGACGCCAAATTCTCAGCACAAAGGAGATTTATTACTCCTGGGGAACAAGCAGATTGGCTGGGGGGTGGGGAAAATGCCTCTGGATGGGACAAAGACAGCAGCAGGTGTTTTGGCAGGAGTGGTTTTTAAGGAGAAAGTGGGTAGGGAAGTCTATGCTAGAATAAGTTGCTAAATCCTACAGATGAATGCAAGACAGAGCACAGGACAGAGCCACTGGATAGGCCTTTCATCTTGGGTTTGAAGGTGAAAAGAAGAATGGACTGAAAGGTGATTTCTCTAATATAAATAAAGTAAGTGTGACCTCTGCCCTTCTTCTTCCCTGAGACTAGCCAAAGATGCTCTCTATGGAAAGGGAGGAGAACACGTTGTTGACATGTTCTAACTAACAGATCACTGGAATGAGTGACAATGGCCAATGCTTTCTCTTTTTTTATAATTTATTTTTTCTCAATCGTAATTAATTCACACGGGTTATAAACACAGAAAGGCAGGATGTGGGGAAGGGAACGACACTGGAGTGTGGGTGATCAGGGGGAATACAGATATCATCAGAACCGGGTATCGGCTAGGTGAAGGTTCAGGTGGCCAATGCTTTCTTATCCCTTCCTCCGAGCCTGCAGACCCCTCTATAGATACAGGAGTGTTGAGGTTGGTCAGTTGCTATGCATTATGATGCTGAATTCTGTACGGGAAAATCTAGGTACCTAAGAGTGAATTCTCAGTTACCAGCTTTTGTTGTGCAAACTTCATTCCTTAAATAAAAATGATACAGACAATTACTGGAGGGATTAGAGCTAGGTGAGTTTTGAGTTAACCTGGTTGTGTGTTAGAGAGGGAGAGAGAGGGGGGGCATAGGAGAGAGGAGGAAGCCATCATGAGAGGAGATGGACTGTAAGCACATGGCCAGAAGAAACAGCAAGTATTTGGGTTACACTGCTGAGAAAGTAGTCAGTCCAGCAGTTAGAAAAGTAGATTAGGAGTTACCTCCCAGTGGTTGTCAAAGCCAAATAAAATAACCATAGTCAGAGTCTCTTTTATTTCTAAGCTAGACAGGGATAAGTTGAAATTGATTCAACTCCACATGGGCTTTTCCTTTGCACGTCTGTATCTCTGCAGCACTTAAATGACAAAACCCTACAGTATTAATGTTTCCTCCTAGGTTTCATTTAATCATATCTCTTTTTTCTGGTCTTCTGCCTTCTGCTTATCTTTCCCCAGCTAGTCTTCCTTTATAATTGTTTCCCTCAGTTTTGCTGAGAGGCTCCTTCCTGGATAGCTCATTATCACCCTGAATTTTGTTTTTCTCCCTCCTGTGTTCATTTCTGTGCACAAATATAAATGAATCTCTCTTGTTTTTGGAGACAGGGTCTCATTATGTAGCTCTAGCTTTTCTGGAACTCACTACATAGACCGGGTTAGCCTCAAACTCACAGAGACATGCCTGTCTCTGTCTCCTGTATGCTGGGACTAAAGGCTTGAGCTTCCACACCTGGCCCATAAATAAGATCTTAATAAAACAGTCAAAGATGAATGTCTATGTCAGACCAGACTTCCGTCACGCTGAGCAAGTACTGTGCCACTGAGCTACAGCCCCAGTCACATTGTTCACTCTACACAGTGTCTTATCTGTTCCCCCCATTTCAATGGTTAATCTTGATTGTCAACTTGATGAAATCTAAAATCACCATGGAAACAAATCTCTGGGCATGACTGTGAGGAGTTTATCTACATGGGGGTCATTGAGGTGGGGAGACTACCTCAAAATATGTGTGGTATCACTGTAAGGGCTGGAGTTCCTGACTGATGAAGAGGAGAAGGCAAACCAAGCACAAGCATTTGTTGCCCTGTTTCCTGACTGCAGTGAGGAGCCAGCCCCCATTACTGCTACCACAGCTTCCCACCAGGATAGAATGTCCTCCCTCAAATTGTAAACCAGGATAAACTGTTCTTTCCCTAAATCCCTTCTTGTCAGATTTTGTTGGTAACAGGATAAGTAACAAACACACCCACGTTTCTATAAGCTCAAGGAAAACATGCATTTGTCACTGCTGCAGTCTGAGAACACAGAACATATGATTTAACACAGATATCTCAATATCTATAAAACTAATAAAGGCATGATTAATACTATGAAGGAGGCCTTGGGGATGGAGTTGCTCTGCTGAGGTGGTGACTTCTTAATTGTTTCCATTCTTTATTACAATGATAAACTATAACTAAAACCTTTTATCTCATTTGGGTTTATAGAGTGATTTTTAAACTATAACAGGCCCTCTTTTAGGGAGCCACATATCTGAATCATAAATGATAGTGGGTTGATGTTAATGCCTGTCTAATATTCTACGTACCTATCTTTATCTTTTCTTACACCTTATGAGACAGGGTCATGTTTTAAAGTTCAAGTTAGCCTCAACTCAACATCTTCCTGTCTCAACTTCCCAATTTCAGCCACTATGCCCAATTTCATTGTGCTACTGGAATTAAGGTAGAAGAAACTGTATTTCCTA